AGAGCTGGAATGTAACAGAGATAAAGACAAGTCAGAATCTCCAAGTCTTCTACGGGCCAGTAGTTCCATCTTCTTCCCCCACCTCCCTCCGATGTCCCCACCCCCAAAGACTGCAATGAAGCAAAATGTAGATGGGACGCTGTCTTTTGTGAGAGTCTCCCCTTCTGTGGAAAACCAGTGTTGATTATGCTAAATAATGCATATAATGGATTCTGGTCATTCCTTTGTTAGGCCAGTTACTCTGCTAATCAGCATCCACAGGAACAAACACGCAAGGTTACGATGAAGTTCTTTTTAAAAAATTAATTAATTTTCATTTTCCATTAAAAAATTTTTTTAAATGTATATTTATTTTTTTTAAATTTTTTAATGTTTTATTTATTTCTAGGAGAGAGAGAGAGACAGTGTGAGCAGGGGAGGGTCAGAGAGAGAGGGAGTCACAGACTGAAGCAGGCTCCAGGCTCTGAGCTGGCAGTCAGCACAGAGCCCGCGACGCAGGGCTCGAACCCACGAACCGCGAGATCATGACCTAAGCGAAAGTCGGACGCTCAACCGACTAAGCCACCCAGGCGCCCTGTAAATGTATATTTATTTTTGAGAGAGAAAGACAGAGAATGAGCAGGGGAGAAGCAGAGAGAGAGGGGGACACAGAATCAGAAGCCAGCTCTGGGTTCTGAGCTGTCAGCACAGAGCCCGATGCAGGGCTTGAACTCACAAACCGTGAGATCGTGACCTGAGCCAAAGTTGGTCGCTTAACCGATTGAGACACTCAGGTGTCCCTTTAATTAATTTTTAAATTTATATCCAAGTGAGTTTGCATAGAGTGCAATAATGATTTCAGGACTAGAATCCCTACATATACCACCCAGTGCTCATCCCAACAAGTGTCCTCCTCAATGCCCCTTGCCCATGTAGCCCATCCCCCCACCCACAACCCTCTCCAGCAACCCTCAGTTTGTTCTCTATATTTAAGAGTCTTTTATGGTTTGTTCCCTTCCCTGTTTTTATATTATTTTCGCTTCTCTTCCCTTATGTTCATCTGTTTTATATCTTAAATTATACACCAGAGTGAAAACATATGACATTTGTCTTTCTCTGACTAATTTCACTTAGCACAACTCACTCTAGTTCCATCCATGTTGTTGCAAATGACAAGATTTTTTCTTTAAAAAAGTGTTTTTTAAAGCTTATTTATTTTTGAAAGAGAGAGATTGAAAGAGAGAGAGGAGGACACAGAATCTGAAGCAGGCTCCAGGCTCTGAGCTGTCAGCACAGAGCCCGACGCGGGGCTCAAACCCATGAACCGTGAGATTATGACCTGAGCTGAAGTCAGACGCTTCACCGACTGAGCCACCCAGGAGCCCCAATTTCATTCTTTATGATTGCCGAGTAATACTCCATTGTGTATGATATGATGAAGTACTTTACTGCAGGAAATGTAGATCTGGAAACAGGATGTACAAATGAAGCTCCTTCTAAACTAAGGCTTCTGCAAGAATGGGGCTCTTCTTTCTCTCCAGCCTTTCAAGACCCTAGAAACAACCTCTCTCCTCAAGAATGGAGGAAGTTGTGCCTTTGTTTTTGCCCTGGGCCTCGTAAATTCAAATGGCACCTTGGGTGTCTTTTTAGCTACCTTTTCTGGAAGGAAAGGAAATGAGTTCCAGTTCAGAGGGCTGATTTCCTCACTTAGAGTAATCCTTAGAAGAAAGCCTCTTATCAAACAGCACATTTTTCCCTTCTTTCAGCTCTCTGTTTTGAGGACCGAGTTAATTATTTACAACAAATCTGTCACTGTTGATTTTTTTTTTATTCTAAAGACAGAGAGAGCACAAGTGGGGGAAAGGAGTTAGGGGGGAGAGAGAGAGAGAGAGAGAGAGAAAATGTTAAGCAGGCTCCGTGCTCAGTGCAGAGCCCAATGTGGGGGTCCATCCCATGATCCTGGGATCACCACCTGAGAGTTGGACACTCAATCGACTGAGCCACCCAGGCGTCCCTCATCGGTGGTCTTATGCAAAGCCCTTCTCTTATTCTATTTTTATTGATGTATTGATTTTTATCCCTACAATCAACTCCCATTCATGTCCTGCACAGGCAACTCTTTCAGTGTTTGAATATGTACCTTCTTATTTTTATTTTTATTTTATTTTTAATTTTTAAAAATATTTATTTATTTTTGAGAGAGAAAGAGACAGAGCATGAGCCAGGGAGGGGCAGAGAGAGAGGGAGACACAGAATCTGAAGGTTCCAGGCTCTTAGTGGTCAGTGCAGAGTCTGATGTGGGGCTTGAACCCACAAACTGTGAGATCATGACCTGAGCCGAAGTCGGACGCATAACTGACCGAGCCACCCAGGCACCCCTGAATATGTATTTAGAATGAGCTATGAAATTACAATAGATTCCTGGGATCTGTAAAGAAAATGAGCCCGAAATGCTTATTTGTTGATGTTTCCTAATTGCAACCTTGTTTCCTTAGCTAGAACCTTCTAGAATTCTCACCACTCACAAGGGTCCAAGCTAGTGAGGGGCCTTGAAGCTTTAAAATTCACAGTCAGTCTGCCTCTGATCCACACCCCACTAGTAGTACATGAATTCTCCTCTGTTCTCATCTCCCTGACATTATTTGGCATTATTTAGCTGCCTAACCTTTGCCAGTTTGAATCCAGCCTGCTGCCTGAATTCGTATGGCCCATGAGCTAAGACTGGATTTTACAGTTTTGAATAGTAGAAAAAAAAATAAGGAGAATAATATTTAGTGACGTGTGAAAAGTAAACGTCATTTGAATTTCAGTGCCTGTAAATAAAGCCTCCTTGGAACACAGCCATACCCATTCGTTTACACACTGTGGTCGCTTTTCATGCTACAAAGGTAGAGTTGAGTGGTTGCAACAGAGACTGCATGGCCCACGAGCTCTGAAATATGTACTATCTGGGCCTTTACAGAAAAGGTCTGAGGGTCCCTGGTCTAGAGCATTCGTTTTTCTTGGAGACGACAGTCTTATTCCGTATCAGAAAGGAGACATTCTTCCTGTTAGTGGGCCCTTGTGTCTGCCCATTTCAAAATGATAAGAGTTTTCCATTACTGTGTTAAAAAGCACTTGATTTGGCTCTTTTCTGATCTATCTGCTGGCCTCATGTATCACTAAGCCATTACTATGTCTTCTCCTGTTCCCAAACTCAGGGTCTTAACACAGCAATTTTTCTAAAGGTTTTTTTTTTTTTCCTTCTTTTTTTCCTTTTTTTTTTTTAATGTTTTATTTCTAGGAGAGAGAGAGAGAGACAGCGTGAGCAGAGGAGGGTCAGAGAGAGAGGGAGTCATAGACCGAAACAGGCTCCAGGCTCTGAGCTGGCAGTCAGCACAGAGCCCGACGCGGGGCTCGAACCCACGAACCGTGAGATCATGACCTAAGCGAAAGTCGGACGCTTAACCGACTAAGCCACCCAGGCGCCCCTTTTCTAAAGGTTTTTAATGTTTATTTATTTTTGAGAGAGACAGAGACAGAATGTGAGTGGGGAAGGGGCAAAGAGAGAGGGAGACACAGAATCCGAAGCAGGCTCTGGCCTCTGAGCTGTCCGCACAGAGCCTGACGCGGGGCTCGAGCCCACAGACCGTGAGATCACGACCTGAGCCAAAGTTGGATGCTTTAACCAATGAGCCACCCAGGTGCCCCATTAACACAGCAGTTCTTTATCATGGCTCATTTATCAGCGGGGAAGTTGGACTGTGGCTGGATTGCTCTGCTTGGGGTTGGTGTAGCAGGGGCAGCTTCATTTCTTACTGCAGATCTGCGGGGAAGCCGGGGTGGCTCTGCTCCACGAACTTCTCATTGTCCTTGCACCACTGGGGCACATTTGTCTCATGGTGACGGACAAGGCACAAAAGGGCAAGAGAAAACACTCATCACCTCTTAAAGTCTGGGCTCGAAACTGGCATACTGTCACTCCCGGTCCTGTGTCATTGGCTAAAGCAAGTCTCATCGCCGAGACAGAAGTGAGGGGACAAAAGCATTCCTCCTGGGATGAGACCTTGGAAATGGATTCCAGTAGGGGTATAAAATTGGGGTCGATAATGCAATCTACCGTGCATTATAGGAAACACACAATGGGAGACAATCGTCTTTCCTCTGCCACTTAGGAGGTTGCTACTTGTTTTTCTCAAACACACACTGTTAAAAGTCAAGTCCGTGGCCTTCCTGCTCATCCTACTCCACAAAGGCTGCTATTTTTAGTTTCCAGTGGTGATGACCACAGAACCATTAGGCATTTCCCTCTGCCTCTGTCCTTCCTTTACTTTTAATGTTTATTTATTGTTGAGAGAGAAAGAGAGAGAGAGAGACAGACAGACAGACAGAACATGGGTGGAGGAGAGGAGGAGAAAGAGAGAGAGGGAGACACAGAATCTGAAGCAGGCTCCAGGCTCTGAGCTGTCAGCACAGGGCCTGATGCGGGGCTTGAACTCAAGGATCGTGAGATCATAACCTGAGCCGAAGTCAGATGCTTAACTGACTGAGCCACCCAGGCACCCCATGCCCTTCCTTTACTATTAAAATGAATCACCAACATATGAGACATCCTAAGATGTCCTTATTGCTGGAGAGAACCCAAGGAACACAGAAGTATCACTCCTTTTCTGTCTCACTGCTCTTTCTTTTCTTTTGCCAGAAATGAACGGATAGTGAAAACATTTTTCGCCCTTCTTGGCTCCCCAGTTATATTATAAACCTCCTCAAAGGTAAGGCTGTGTCTTCTCTTTGTTAATGTCTCGTCCCCCATCCTAGCCTCCTCTGGAGGTGTAGACTGGCCATTCCACCAGTGTGTTGATTTCTTGTCTGCCTGTCTAATCTTAAGGGACTGTTCCCTTTCTGGTTCACTGATCATGGCTCTGCCTTGGCTCTTGGGATAATAAATACCAGTCTGGACTGCCCAGAATGGAAACCTCTGCCTGTTTCACTAGCCCAGAAGCCTCGAAGCCTCCTAATCTCCCCCTGAGCTCCCAGCGTTCATGAAGCTCATTCTCCTGGTTTTGACCGTTACCCTGTTCCTGGTCCAGGTCACCCAAGGTAAATAAGATCTCTCCCAAGGGGGAGTGGGTCATGTTCAGGGGGTTCTGGGGGCTCTAAAAGCCTGGGCTAGGAGAATGGTAGGCTCCTTGGAGGCCTCTGGATCACCTTTGTAGCCAAGGGAAAATTTGAGTTCTCTAGTACCAGCTGATCTTTCCAGACCTATTACTTTACTCTGATCTCCTCTGGTTTGCTCGGGAGAAGTGGAACCTGATGCTCTGGATGGAAGGTACATGGAGGAGAGAGATTTGGGTGTGGAATATTGAGAGAATGGGTGCTTTTCTAAACACATTGGGGGGATTTGAATTTTGATCTATTGTTGCCTCCATGAAAATGGCTTCTGAATTTCTGAATAACGATTCTGATTCCATTCTCAGGCAACTTTAATTTATCTGGGCTGCTTTCAGCTGTAGGTTCCCCAGAGCAGCTAATGATCTAGGTGAAGACCTGCGAAAAGGCCCGGGATGTTGTGGAGAAGGGAGAATTACATTCTTGGGAGTTTTGCACTTGCCCCAGAAGCCTTGCAGCTGTCCAGATGGGCGTATTTCCGACTCCTGTCCTGTTTCGTTGATATGGTTGGAGAGGGGACTGAGGGCAAAGGGCAAAAGTAACTGATACTGGGTACCTGGTTACGTTGTATTATGGGGGAGACAAAACCTTGGGGCTTCTGCCTCCCCTGAAGGACCTGGCCAGGGAGCGGAAGCAGCCTCATGGGGAGGACTTCAGGGTGGTGACTGAGGACACACACGGGAGAAGAAAGGAAAACGGCCACTAATCTCAGTCTGAAGGATGTCCTGTAAGGGCTTCCTCCGGACACATCTCCCTATTTCTCTACCACTGTCTTCTCTGCTAGGCTGTGCCTTCCCCCTTCCCAGCGCTCTGCGTTATTTCAAGACTGACCCTGTCCTTTCCTTCCCCTTTCATTTCAGCCATGTACTGCTGGAGTAAGCTGGGAAGGTGCAGAACAGCATGTAAAGACAGTGAAGCATTCCATATATTATGCAGAGATGAGACTAAGTGTTGTGTCAATCCCAAGCATGTACCTGTCAAAACTAGACCCTTAAATGCAACTGGAAGCCTGGAGTAACCCTTCTCGTCCGACGTTGAGTCCGACATCATCGGAGCCCACCGTTCTATTAAATCACTTTCCACTTGTGTCGGCTGGTTCCACCTTATTATATTTGCAAATCAATAACAAAGGAAGGTGCGTGTGCCCGTTAGAGAGAACCGGGGCGGGCCAGTAGGCAGGAGCAGTCTGTTTTGCACCTAGCTCCTAGCCTGCTGGCCTGCGCTTCATCCCAGATGATATAAATAAGGAGTGTTCATTCTACCCATTTGATTCTTGTTTCCTAAAGCCAGCACCGCCGGTTGAGTTTTCGATAATGCTGGACACATCCCAGCTCTGTGGTGTCTGGTATGGTAGCTACTAGCCCCACGTGGGTATGGAGCATTTGAAATGTGGTTTGTGAATAAGCACACAGAGAGAGCTGCATCCTCGTTTGTCATGCGAAAGTAAAACCCCAGAACATTCTAAATGCCCATTCACAGGGAAATGAAGTATGCATCCCAATGACCACTACATATCACTTAAAAAAAAGAACTACCTAGCTCTGCAAGACATATTGTGGGATGAAAAAAGAAAGACACCTCCTGAAATGGAAAACGAAACATCAACCAATATGCTATGTTTTCTAAATGTATGTGCGTGTGTATAAAGTCAACAGGGGAGACTACAGTGCAAACATAGATGATTTTATGCCTTTTAAATGGCTATTTATCTTTGAGAGAGACAGGGAGAGAGAGACAGAGACAGAGACAGAGCGCAAGCTCGGGAGGAGCAGAGAGAGAGGGAGACACAGAAACTGAAGCAGGCTCCAGGTTCTGAGCTGTCAGCACAGAGTCCGATGCTGGGCTTGAACCCACGGACCATGAGATCATTTGATTTTTGTTTTTTAATTTTAACGTTTTTTATTTTATTTTTTGAGAGACAGAAAGAGGTAGAGTGCGCACAGGGGAGGGGCAGAGAGAGAGAGAGACACACACACACATACACAGAATCCGAAGCAGGCTCGAGGCTCTGAGCTGACAGCTTAGAGTCCGATGAGGGGCTCGAACCCAAGAATTCAAGATCATGACGTGAGCCGAAGTCGGACGCTTAACCAACTGAGCCACCCAGGTGCCCCTGATTTTTAAATCATTCCACGAATACATATTATGTAATTTTTATTTATATCTCCCCCCTGCCCCCACCAAGTCAGTAAGCTCCATGAGGACATAAGAAAGAAAGTAGGAAAGAAGGAAGGGAGGAAGGAAGGAAGGAAGGAAAGAAGGAAGATGGCTAGTGTAACTGAGGAACTGAATATTTAATCTAATCTGTATTCATGTTTATTTGGCTAATGGTTATCGTACTGGACAGTGTAGCTTTTTCTTTACCCACACCCCAAAAGGCTGAAACTACTCTCCCCTGATAGCATCTACATTTCTACACCATTAGGGAGTCCTGGATGGTGTCTCATGGTTTTCTTCCACCTGCAGAGAACAGGTATCAGGCCCCATGTGGGTTCCTGCTTCATCTCTTTCCTTTCCTCCTAGTGAGGGTCACAAGACATTGAACTGTGGGCTAGTCTTTCTTAGGACTGATCCTGAACTGAGACAATGGCAATTTTCCTATTACCAGCCCCATGATTTGGGTCACTGTCTCAGTATTCCCAACCCTTGCTACTTATCTGATTAATTAAAAAGGAATTGATTCTTTATTCAGAACTGGGAAGCTGTGCTCAGCATCACCTACTTACTATCCATCCCTTCATATGAGTACACTGAACCTGGCCTCAGCCTTATGGCTTGACTCAGTCATCCCCAGAACACCATTTTTTTTTTTTTTTTTTTTTTTGATTTACAAAGCAATTTAATAAAGTAAAGAGGCACCATTTAGTGAATTAAATAATACAAGCATTTTTGGATCTGTAATTGATATACATTTGATGAAAAAAATAAACACTTGGTATTAGGTCGCCAAACGGATTAATACAACAATCACATGTAGAAAAACACAAGCCAGTAAGTTTCTTTGTGACCTCAACTGAGGGATATTTTCCCTAATCCTCAACCAGTTTTAGAAGCTAACACTAGTAAGTTTAGAGAAGTTGAAAACACCGAAACACTTTAAACAAAGACTCTTTTTCGTTTTTAAAGAAAAAGTATGTTTTCTCATTTTCTATTCTTGGCACAGAACACCATTTTTTGGTGAAAACCTCCAGCCTCAGTGTCTAAGTATCACCAGAAGTGTCAAACGCTTTTGAACACTGGATTCAGGATCAGAAGATCTGGGTTCAAATCCTTGAATCACTTACCTGCTGAGTGACGCTAGGCAGGCCATTTAACCTTCTCTGTTTTATTTTCTCATCTCTAAACTGAGGATTCATGCCACCCAAGGCACAGGATTGTCATTAGATTAAATGAAATAATAGGCAGGAAGTGCCCAGCACAGAATCTAGCACACATTTGATTCCCAGGAAGACGTAGGATGCCCTCCCACTCCTCGGAAGGAGCACTGGGTGTCCTATGTAAGAGGTGAATCACTGGGTTCTCCTCCTGAAGCCACGATGACACTGTATGTTAACTCACTTGAATTAAAAAAAAAAAAAAAGACGTGGGATGCCCTCCTGTTGGCTTCTCGTGTCAGGTCTGCCATCATGGCCCCATGAGTTTTTGGAGGGGGGTGGCCAGTTTTCAGGGCTGCGTTATTTTTTGTGTGTGAGAACATTCCTGCTACCTGTTGTAAGTCAAACAGACATCTCACTATGTCAAAATCATTCAACTAATATTGATTGAATATTGATTAGGGTTCAATCTGTTTTCAGGGCCGCTTTCTCGGCTCAGTCCCTCCTTGGCATTCTCCCTCCTCTTTCTCACCCCAGCCAGACCTTCTACCTCGAGTTTTGTCATTGATCTTTCCATCTCTCTGCCATGTCTGATTGTCCCGCATCCTGGCCCCCAATGTCACAAGGGTTCCTTATGGAATACAGCAACATTCCTCAACATGTTTGATGATGACACACCATCAATTTGTCATTGTGTGTAATGGTTTGAGTTCATCAGAGACCAACTTAAGCAGAAAGGGCATTTCCTGTAAGGATGCTATGTTGCTCATAGAACTGACTAGAAGTCCAGACAACTGGTCTTGGAAGGACCAGCAGAAATAATCTGCCAGGATCCCACCAGCAGCATTCCCATCCTGGCCCTGGACATCTGGAGCCTTGCCTGGACTTTGCCCCCAGTGGCTTCTTTTTTTTTTTAATTTTTAAAAATGTTTTATTTATTTTTTTGAGAGAAAGACAGAGCATGAGTGGGGGAGAGGCAGAGAGAGAGACACAGAATCCGAAGCAGCCTCCAGGCTCCAGCTGTTAGCACAGAGCCCGGTGAGGGGCTTGAACCCAAGAACTGTGAGATCATGACCTGAGCCGAAGTCGGACACTTAACCGACTGAGCCACCCAGGCGCCCCTCCCACAGTGGCTTCTGCCTGCTGGCCACCATGTGAGCATTTCCTCCATCTTCTCTGTGGTTTGAATTGAGACCTTTCAGGTTCAGAGTCCTTTGCTGGGACATCTTGGCTAAGCCTGGGTCACAGGCCTATCTGCTGACTCTCAAAGTCGTGCAAAAGAATATTTGCCTTTAGTGTTTTCTGCAGTGGGAGGCCAGCCCTTCTTTCCATCAAAACCCAAAGAATGGAAGGGGATTCAGATGCCGAGTGTCCAAAGATGCAGCAAAGTGATCGCCACCAGGGAATCTTATCCCGAAGACTTTGCCTTCGCCTGGAGTGTTTTCTCTGCCACTTTGACCTTTCTGACTGCCAGGGCCATGACTAGGAGGAAGACGGGGGGTGCCCAAGGCACAACGCATCGGGGGGACCCTCACTCTCAGGGTCGTATGAGTGCCTCTTGGGTACCTCCCTCGCCTCCTCCAGTCCTGGCCTTGCCAGCTGGATCCTGCACTTCTCCTCCACCCCACCCACCCCACTGCTACTTATATTTGTTCCGTGTGTGTCCTCATGATAGATTGTCATCCCCATGAAGACCGAAACTGCGGCTGACTTATTTTCTGTATCTCAGAACAGAATCTAGCACAAATCAAGTATTCAAGCAATATTAGTGGAACAATTTTGACTCAATGAGATCTATGTTTGACTTAAAACAGCAGGCACGGTACAAGAGCATTTCCTCTCTAGCTTCACATTGGAAGAGTATCAGTGTCTGACGTTCAAGAACCACGGAACATTACTAGAGATATAGATTGAGATTATAAGTTGAGACACTCAGCAGGGGTGGCTACAGTTACGTCACCCATCACTGTGATGGTCATTGGTTGACGCTTCCATTATGGTGGAACAGCCTGCAATATACGCTTGCGTGAGTCAGGTGGTGTGTTTGAATGTCTGGAGTTGCTGTGGGCATCATGCTTTGCCGTAGGAGCAAAATCATGACACATTCCTGAGATTAGTTATGCAAATGTATTTAATATGTTTAAAACAAACATGGTGGCAGGGTGACATATTAAGAATTCCATGTAGCAATTGCCTGATAATCTTTTTTCCTCCATTTTTGCTTGACCAGCATCAGCATAGAGAGTGAAAAGATCATTTTTTTCCTGCCTAGTTATTGGAGGGGAGCCAGGACTTCATGTTGTAAAGCTTGGCCTTCCTTTGCTACTGGGGAACTAAGAAAAAGTAGATGTGCATGCGTGCGTGCGTGCGTGCGTGTGTGTGTGTGTGTGAGAAAGAGAGAGAGAGAGAGGGAGAGAGAGAGAGAGGGAGAGAGAGGAAGAGAGAGAAAGGGAGAGGGAGAGGGAGAGGGAGAGATTGACGCAGGGGCTACCTTGAAGACTGCTCTCCATCTTCCCCGCACCCCAGCTGCCGCCATCTTTAGTAGAGAGGCCCAGGCACAAGGAGGGCAGCTGGATTGGATTGTCTCAAGGGGAGTGGGATGAAGACCTTAGCTTCAAGTTCAGGAGAGGAGTGGTCTGCCCTCTGGAGGTGTTGAATCTCCACACAACTGGGAGAAGAGATGGGGAGGTGATAAGTGTTCGGACGGGATGGCTGGCATGGAGGCCAGCACCGTGGAGACAGCTGCTGTGGCTGTGGCCCTGGGACGAGCAGTCTTTGCCTCCAAGTTGGGTGACAGCCCTGGCAAGGGACCATTCTCCAGGGCCCAGGGCTGCTCAGTGAACGGTTAGTGGAATTCATCAGCAATATCTTGAGCATGAGAAGCAAGAGAAATGAAGATCATCATCACAGAGTAAGGTTTCAGTTCCTCCTCATTTACCAAAATCATGGGGTCCTGGTAGGATCAAGTGGAAGAAGGCAGGAAACCCCAACAACAGCCACTGGACATCTCACCAGCTTCGCAAGTGGTATCTTGGAGCTGAATTTAAACCACATATACAGATGGGGCAACCTGGGTGGCTCAGTCGGTTAAGTGTCTGACTTTGGCTCAGGTCGTGATCTCGCAGTTTGTGAGTTCGAGTCCCACATCGGGCTCTGTGCTCATAGCCTGGAACTCAGAGCCTGCTTCAGATTCTGTGCTCCCGCTCTCTCTGCCCCTCCCCCACTTGTGCGCACGCTCTCCCCGTCTCTCACAAAAATAAATAAACATTAAAAAGATAAAATACATATACAGAAATAAAGCATTTCCTGAGGCTTGATTGTCACAGAGCACTCAGAACTGGTATGTGACTATGAATGGATTAAGGAATTTTAGAAGAAACCCTGTCACTAGCATCTATTTCATGGCATATTGCTTGAAGCAGGACACAGTTGGGAGATGTACTGGTGTAGGAGTTTCTCCAGCATCCAGCCCCTCCACGAGAGCCTAGCCACACTCTCATGCAAACTTGGCCTCATCTCGCCTTTCTCCAGCCAGAGGCCCTCATCTGGGTCCTGTTCCTACCTCACTGGGAAAGTAAGAAGATGTGAATCTGTGGAAGTCAAAGGAGCTCGTAAAAGGCTGTTAGTTTGTGGTTCTCACTTTTTCTACCTTCTTGTCATATTACTAACCTCACAGGTTTGAGGGAGGGTCAGCAGAGAGAAAGTAAAAGAACCTGGGCTGTGTGGGTCCTGCTGAGACCTTGATCCCTAGCATTTCCTTCCCCCGCCCCACTGTGGCTGAGGGGAGTGGGTGGCCTTTCAAAAGCTGAGAAATGCAACTTTGCAGATTTCAGGGTGGGTGGGTGGTACAGGTCTCAGAGAATGGGCCAGGCCAGGCTGTACCGTGTGGGAGGCATTACAAAGGCCCAGGCTATGGTCTGTTCTGGTCAGGGCAGGTCGCAGGAACCAGCACACAGTGCCCAGGGGCCGAGTTGGCTCTCTGACCAAGGCCTGCCTCTTTCCCTATCTCCTGGCCTCTTCTCCCACAGTGGCTTCAGCTTGCTGCCCACGTTGACATCCCCTGCCCCTCACTTCCACTTCCCTTAGCCTTGGCCCAGGTTTCCCTGCTTAACACAAAAATCACCATGCAACAATTATGTTCCCGAGTCAGAGAATGTAGGGGCTCAAAGGGGACGATGGGGCTGAACTGGGCAGAACTCTAGGTCCTGGCATTTGATAATCTGAGAACTGAATATACATGCACACATGTACTCAAAAATACACAAACACCCTCCTACCCACTGATTACACATCCACGCACAAACGACATCCAAGTATAAACATTCTTACATGTATAACATTCAAGTACTCATATATACAGGACACACACAAATAACCCAGGCACACAAATTATACATAAAATACACACAACATCTGAGCATACACAGCCATGCCCAAATTTACACATACGCACAAGTACATATAAACAAAATGCAATGCGAACGTAAACTCAGATGCCCAAGTATAGATGTGCTATAGCAACAAACGCATCTCTTTCCATTTCTCCTTATCTCAGTCAAGGCTGGTTCTCGGAATGTTCCCAGGGCTTCTTGCCAATCCGTCTAGGAGAATTCATAAAGGGGCTTATGAAATATTGCAAACGACTGTATTAGCAAGGCGCCTAGTGTCCCCAGGGTGGAACTTCTGGTCAGTTACAGTAATAACAGCAGGTACTTCAATTGCGGTGAGTAAGTGTCACGAGTCTTCATGTGTATTCACCAAACGCTTTGTGTCTATTCACTCATTTGGTCCTCAATGACAACCTACAGAGCAAGCGCTATTATTACCCGCATCGTATAGCCAAAGAGACAGGTTCCGAGTCGATTGCATTTTCCGAGGTCCTACAGTCAGGAGTCTAACTTCAGAATACAGGCTTGTCAACATTCAGTGACACTGTCTTGTTCCGTGCTGAGTCCTGCAGATGCTGAATAACGTTCTCAAGGACACATAAGCTGCCCAGTTCCCAGCCCCGGACCAGATGGAATGCCTGGGAACTCCGCTGCACTTGCCGGATGGTCTCTCCTTTTACATCCTTGATGTTTGTGCTTTTTTGGCTCCAATGAGGCCTTGTAATTTCTCCCCAGAGGAGAAACAGCCTCCTTGTTAGTCTTCCCTTGCTTGCCTCTACCTTGGCAATTATCTTCAATAGGGGCTGCCAGAGTGATTCTTCGAGGCTATAAAAAAATTCTGACCATGCCCCCACAAGTCTTCTCTAAAAGATCTTACTATTCCCCATTGTGCCCAGGCTGGATTCCCAAACCCTGAGCATGGCATTGAAGGCCCCACATGGGGGCATCTAGGTGGTCCAGCAGGTTAACTCTTGATTTTAGCTCAGGTCACGATCTCATGTGAGTTCGAGCCCTGCATCAGGCTCTGTGCTGACAGCTCAGAGCCCGGAGCCTGTTTTGGATTCTGCGTCTCCTTCTCTCTCCTGCCCCTCCCTGCCACCTCTCTCTCTCTCTCTCTCAAAAAGAAATAAACATAAAAAAAATTAATGAAGGCTTCACATGATGATGTCTCCATCCAGGTCTCCCCTTTGGTTTGAAACATTCACAACCACAACTGTCTCCTGATGTTTCTCCTGACCTTCCTCTGAGAAAACTGGCTTTCCATTGTCCATTCTTCTTTCCAACCAGGAAGCCCCTGCCTGAGTGGATCCTGTCACCTGACCAAGTCTCAGTTTTGTTAGATGTGATTTAGAGGCTGATGATTTCCACTTCTGAGGATAATAAGTATAATAAATATAAGGATGGCAATAATAATGATAATGAAACATAAAATAATAGTTAATAATTATTCAGCACCTACTAGGTGTCAGGTACTTGGTTAAGCAATTTCTGCAAGTTATCCCGTTAACTAAATCAGGTATAGTTATGATTTGTATTTGATTGTAGGATACTCAGGAAATTTGTATTTGATCATAGGATACTCAGGAATTACTTTGCTCAAGGTCAACAGGTATCAACTGTCAGGGGCAGCACTCGATTTAAAATCTGTGTGAAATCAAAACCTATTCTCCAATCCTGGCATTCTTGGATTCTAGAATTCTCTTCGTTCTTCTTCTCCTGTCATATTTTCTCAAATTCTGCCCAAGGTCCTGTCCTTATTCAGCTTCCTGAGATGCTGGGCTGAAGGGATACAGTCCACGCCCTTTCTCTACATTCTGGAAGGACTTGGGTTGCTTCCCCATTAGATCACTTCTTACAGGTCAATGTATGTTATTTATTCAGACCACAGGTATTTATTAAGTACCTGTGATGTGTTGGGTGTATCAGAGGTTGCTAGCTCTTCCCCCAATATCCATCCTTCCATTCTTCTTTGTAAGACTACCTCTGAAATGTCAGCTAGCCATAGTGGCCCGTAAGGAAAATATTTCCAGCCTGCCCTGCAGCTAGGTGCGGCCACGTGAGTAAGTTCTGGCCAATGTACCGGAGTGGAAGTGGTGTATACAGATTCCGAGTGGTGCTCCTTAAAGGAAATGGTATGCACTTCCTTTCCTTCATTCTCCTCCCCTGGATGGCTGCAATGGGGACTTGACCGTGGGGGACTAGAGCAGCTCTCTTAGGTCATCAGATGAGGCTGCCTGTGAGGATGACAGAGCATCAAAGCCAGGGGGACTCTTCTCCCTGCTGAATCAGGAAGCTGCTACACCGAACTCCTTGCCCAGGCTTTTCCATAAGAAAGAAATCAATGTCTGTCTTTTGGAATCCTTGTTTGGGAAGAATATCTGTTAAAACAGTTGAATTAATACCCTCATCCAGGTGATGTAATGGGCAGTGGAGTTACAAGACAAATTTCTGACATTCTCACGGAAGAGACAAAGATGAAGCATGTGAAATAAAATTGAAAAGAACAGATAAATCCATGCAGATCATGAATCAAGGTCTAATGATCCAGAGTGACTGTAGGTGGGAGTACCGATATCTAGGGCGGCTAGGAAAGGCCTAACCAGGAGGTGACATTCCAGATGAGACTGAATGATAAATAAGAGCCAGTAGTGGGAGGTCACAAGGAAGAAGAAATAACAAATGTTAAAGCCCTGAACTGGGAACCAGATTGGCAAGTTCAAGGTTCAGCAAGATACGCCTGTGTATCCTTTTGTTAGAAAGCTGAGAATAAGTATTTTTAAAAATTAGTTTCTTGATATATATTTATGTGCTAATTAATTAGTTCTTTTGTGGGTCTTGAAAGGCTAAGGGGCTTTAATTTGCCTGTCTCCTCACGAGGACGGAAAGCTGCTATCGGCACAGTGCTGGCCAGTTTCCCACACTCTCATCTCGTGCTTTGCCACGACATCTGCTACACACTGTTCTTTGGCCTGGCCGATCTCATATAAATCCTCTCCTGCTATAATTCACTGCCCACAACTCTGCCAATAAAAGCGAGGCTCATCCCTGCTGCAGAGAACACTATTTCCACCCCCTGCAGCCCAGCCACCTCCTCCTCCTGTGACCCGCCAGCCATGAAGTTTCTTCTGTTTCTTCTCATCCTTCTGGCCATGGAGCCAGTGGTTTCAGGTAATTTGGGTCTCTCAAGTGTCTGGGGTCATGGTCATGAACTTCTTGCTTTCCTCTCCCTTTCACTGCGGGCAGCATGAAGCTTTTCCTCATTTTACGTGGCACGGGATCAGGTTTTCCCATGATCATCTCACATCCACATTTCTCTCTGGTTCTTTTTTGCCAAGGTAGTGGGATGGTAGCTATGTGGAGCATCCGACACTTAAGGGCAAGGTAGTATTCTGCTGGGATCTTGGGAGAGGGCTTAGGGGTGATGGGTTGGGTGCAGACTAGGGACTTGTTGGGGCCTTTGGGACCTTAGATTAGAAGCTGATGATGAGTTGTGATGGGGAGAAAGACTTTGGGGTTGGGGTGGCAGGGGGAAGATTAGGATGAGCTGGAGGGGAGGTATTGGGCTCCCCTGATGGTTTGGAGTGGGCTGGAGAGGAGATGGGATTTTGGGTTGAGTGGAAGTAGACTGGAGCTTGGGCTAAAGCTGGGAGTTGGTAATGAATAGTGCAGGGTATCTGATGACTGCTGCTCAGAATTGAGGTTGGTGACTTGATTAAACTTGGATTTGGCTTGGAGTTCAGGCTTAAGGGGCACTGAGTTGGGTAGGGCTCGGCATTCTACTTAGAACTAGACTGGGTTTTGAGTTTGAATTGGGTGAATATGATCAAGGAGGACTGAAGACTGTGTTGTGGCTGGACCCAGGGCTAGTTGAGCTTAAGTTAGGGCCAGACTGTTGACAAAGAGCTGAACCTGTTGAAGTGTGGATGAATCCCCTCCATCTCCTGATATTATAGTTGGCTATTTCCTTTCTCATCATCCCCAAGCTCCATTAAGGAGGGATCTTCATTGGTATCAAATGATCCCAAAGTTAGGAGTTAGCAGGTTGGGGGATAGGAATACAGGGGGTGGGGTGTCTGAAAAAGGCTTTCCTAAAAGCCTTGGATTTCCCAAGGTTGGAACAATCGTCTCGGTTCCCTCCCCTCTCAAGATCGCTTCTCTCCTTTCCCGGGACTGGGTCCAGTGTTACTTACTCAATGGTCTCCCTTCCTCCCTCGTCCTCTCCCTCCTCTTCCTCCTCTTGTCTTGCCACTTGAGGGACACTAACATCTGCTTAATGGTTGTTCCTGTGCCCAACAGCAGAGTGTTGGATGAATGGACATTGCCGGTTGGTGTGCAAAAGTGATGAAGACAGTCTTACATGTTGCTCAAATCGTAAACGGTGCTGTGTCCTTAGTCAGTACTTAACAGTCCAACTAATGACAGTTGAAAGAATACAGCCCTGGACCATTTCTCGGATGTCCGAGCAAGTAGAACATGAGGCCAAGCCTGGCCAAAGAGGGACTATAAATGGATATCGTGGATAGAAATGGCTTTGTTTCAGGTTCCTTAGCTCCTACATTCCATTGAAACTTGCAAATCTGTTTCTTGTGTCCATCAATCACGAGGAATGATGTTCCAAATGCATTGAGGGTGGGGGGATGGCAGGATGGGGGTTAAGAGGTAACAGAGAGACATCACTGGGGCTCGGACAGAGCAATGGGGTGATGGTTCCAGTCTTGTAGATGGCTCCTCATCTATCAGCTGCAGGAAAGGCTTTTGGGTCGGGAATGGACTGAGGAGCATATCTGAGAAGTCAAGAGACTTAAAGGCACAGCAAGAAGGTCCTGAGAAAGGGGGAGAACCTTTGGGTGGGAGAGTTAGTCCATCTTGGGAGTGAAAAGGCTGGGGGTTGACATGGACTGATTAGAGCCCAAATCCTTGGGTTTCTAGGGAAGTTGGCTGAGATGCCTCTTGATGCTGGAGATCCCACAGCCTCAAAGATCAGAGGGTTTCCAAGTGCTAAAAAAATGAGTTTTTTAATAAATTTTTTTATAAATGAGTTTGTTCACTATCCAGTTCTTCTGTTCTTTCATGGACTCGATTATTCGGTCACCGAATATTACTCTGCCACTTACCACTGCCAGACTCTGTTCATATTCCCCTCCAGACTTCAGCAACCCCATCTGTGAACTTGGAACCACAGACGATCTCAAATCTCAGGATTGTGGGAAGAAGGGAATGAGAATGTAGCTCACAGTGCCCAGTATATCATAAGCCCTAATAAATGTTAGCTCTTACTATTATTGCTCATTGATTTCTTCAAGCATTTAAGGAATATGTGCTGTGTGCCTTCCATCTGGGTTAGACTCTGAGGGAGACACAAACCTGTCTCATTTACTTTGGCCTGGGAGGAGACTAACCCCTGGGGAACATTCAAGAATTCTGATCAGGTACTTAGAGGATTTTGGTGTCTTCCCAGCTTTAATATCTCAAATCCTATTCTCTGGGCCCCATGTATCCAACACAGTTGTTCACCCCTGACCTGGGATCCCTGCAGTGAGGTCAGAGACCAGGAATGTTCTGTAAAGCATGGGTGCATGACATGGAGACAGAATGAGTTCATTCTGATCCTTGGAGATAATCTGCTCTCAGTTCAATATTTCTGATCTTAGACTCTGGGAAGAGAGATGCAGCTTCCTCTGATCCTGGTCCTACTCTGGGTGTCCTCTGATTAAGTCCTCCCCATGGGGTTAAGAGTTGATGGGGGCAAGTGAGATATATCCATTTAGAGTCTGCGCGCTTCTCTTCTTCCATGTTTTAAGGACCTGGGGCTCGGGATTCCCTCACAGAAAACCCCCGTGCCTGCTTCCAGGGGCCACATGGGCTTCCCCCAGCTCCACCCCTGCAAGGTGTGGCCTACTGTGTGTGCAACTTAGGCAGGAGGAGTGCCAAAGACACTCCTGTTCGCAGGGGCAGCGGGGCAGCTGGAATATTCTGGCTGCAGTGTCTATGTCTTGCATGGAAGGGTCCTCACAGTGTGGGGCAGAGCTGGGGATGGGAGGGAAGAGAGCTGGGCTCTGGGCTGAGCCGGCTTCCCTCGTGCTTCCATGTTCCTGCACAGAAGTCTGAAGCATCCAAGAATTACAAATTCAAATCTGCCCTTTCAGGTCATTATGAAGGGCGATTTCAAAGATCTTTTTTTAAATTTTAAATGTTTATTTATTTTTGAGAGAGAGAGACAGGAGAGACAGAGAGAGACACACACACAGAGTGAGCAGGGGAGGGGCTGAGAGAGAGGGAGACACAGAATCTGAAACTGGCTCCAGGCTCTGAGCTGGCTGTCAGCACAGAGCCCGATGTGGGGCTCGAACTCACAACCCGCGGGATCATGACCTGAGCCGAAGTCAGACCCTTAACTGACTGAGCCACTCAGGTGCCCCATGAAGGGCTATTTCACAAAGGCCATAGGATAGATTTGATTTAGCCCACTTGTTAGCTTGATTCATAACTGTTAAATATGCAGACATGTGATAGATGAACTTCCATTTGTATTCGTGCCCCAGGACCCACATGTTAGGGTTGTGTCTGGAATCTGGGTCGTGCTTTGGCTCACACCCCATCTCCAAGCTCGCTTCAGAGGCAGGGGCTGCTTAGCCTGTGCTTCCATATTGTCGATGCCTTTGTAATCTGGGGAGACTCTGGGGCTGCCCACCAGAGCTACCTGGGCCCTGAGGCCCTGGGTGAGACTATCCAAAATACTTCCTCCCTGGCTTCTCTATCTCCGGATTCCCTTTGCCTTAGTCTCTATTATTAGTGGGATTCTTTCGAGGAAATTCACCTGACCATGTTACTCTCCTGCTTAGATATCTTCTTTTGCTCCTTCCTGCCCAGAGTTGGGCATGAAGGCTCGGTGGCCCAGCTTCATCTCCCATGACTGGCGCTCATGGCCCAACCCTCTACTATTTGGCTCTGGCTGGCAGTGTTAGAAAGGTGCACTGCAGCTCTGGGAGCTTGCTCAAGTTGGTTCTCGGTACCCATCAGTTAGTTTGCTCTCAGAACCCATAGATTTCACCATGTGGGAGGTAGTCTGGGGAGAGCCTAAGTGTCCCCAACGCTGGGGCCTGGCGTTGATGTCTCCATACACTGCCATCATGCCCCCACCAGATTAACTCATTATGAGGCACCACCTGTTTGCTTAGTCAACAACATTAAGAACCTCCTCTGTGCTTAATGTGTGCCTGCAGAGACAACCCTGGGGAGTGAAGAATGGTGAGGTGAGAAAAGGGCTTGGAACTCACCATTGAGCCAAGTTAAGTGTTTAGAAGGCTCTTCACCCCATGTCTGAATCTTGAGACTTGGGATCTGAGGTGAAATTTTGAAAATTCCCTAAGATTATTCCTTTGGGAGCTAGAGCTCCACCCCCCAGGTCCCCTGCCAGACTTCCTTCTTTCCCAATATGTGAGAATCTCTGATCTGGGCACCTTTCCCTCATCTTCCCATTTCACAGGTGGGGAAACTGAGGACCCAGGAGGAAACATGACCGACGTTCATAAATAGGTTTGAGACAATGCTGGGATTAGTAAACAGTCTTCTCTGATTTCTGGTGAGAGGGATGAGGGGACACGGAAGGGATATGATGTACACGTGGGTGATACTGTGAATGGTGGCATAGAGTGACTTTGGGCTAACAGGAGACCAGCGGTTAGGACCTGCCAGGTCCCTGACAGAAGCTTTGCAGCCCCTTTCCAGGGGTGAAAGACTGAACAGGCCGGCTTGCCTGATCCCCCTTCTCAGATGTACACTATGTACAGTCCCTTTTCAGATGCTAATCTCACAATGGCCTTTCTTCTCGGGGAATATGGAAAAAGATCTCATCTCTGGGGGATGTGACAGAAAGGGTGTGGTGTTTGCTCTTGTAAGGCTCCCTCGAATCTCTCTTTCCTTCCTTGTGGGCTGAGAGGTGATGAGGGTGGGTAGAAACATTGGCATTGGATAGCAGGACACTTTGGGGTCGAGGGTAGAAAAGTTGTGACCCCAAAGCAGGGAAGACTGGGCACCTGTTCTGGACCCTTCCTGGGATTTCAGTGGCTGCTCACTTCCAGGCCTGATGGCGTACTTCAAGCTCCGTTCGGCCTCTGTTCTGTACTGGTGCCCACAACCTAAGTGAGGAATTCATCTTTGATTCTTGCCCAAGGACCACAGAAGCAAAAATATTCCCTCCTTACCTCCCCTCATCCTTGCTTAGGCAATGTATGCTCCCTGGTGAAATTTTGTTTAAATTTTTTATTTATTTCTGAGAGAGACAGAGAGGCAGCGTGAGCAGGGGAGGGTCAGAGAGAGAGGGAGACATAGAATCTGAAGCAGACTCTAGGCTCTGAGCTGTCAGCACAGAGCCTGACGTGGTGGTCAAACCCACAAACTGTGAGATCATGACCTGAGCCAAAATCGGACGCTCAACCGACTGAGCCACCCAGGCACCCCTCTCTGGTGAAAATAAAATGGAGTAGATCCCTTTTAGTCAATGCAAGGGCTTAGAATATCAGTGTGTGTGCGTGTGCGTGTGTGTGTGTGTGTGTGTGCGGCGTGCACATTAGAGTTTGTGTTAAGCCCATTTGGACACCAGGGACCCTATGTACCTACCACCAAGTCCAAAGCCTAGCAAATACTGGGTGCTGATAGCTGCTGGTGGAATGAAGGACGGTCCCATGAATGCCAGGTTCAGAAGTTTGGGCTTGATGTTGAACACAATAGAGGGCCATGGCTCCAGCTGTTATTATCCAGGGTGGGGACCAACCTTTCCCAGCATGTAGAGAAGGTAGCATTGTTCCTCAGATGGATATCTTGTCTATGGAGAAAAATCCACAAAAGAATGAGAATAGCCAAAAAAAAGTTTGAACAAAAAGAGTAGTCAGAGGAAGCATTTTACCAGATGTCAAGACTTACAAAGCTAAGGTAGTCAAGACTGTGTGATATTGGTGGAAAAACAGTCGTGCGGATCAATGGGACAGAGTAGGAAACCAGAGAGAGTCCTACATGTGTACCACCAACTGATTTTTGACAAGTGTGCAAAAGCGATTCAATGGGAGAAAGACACATTTTCCAACAAATGGTGCTGGCTCAATTAGACACTGTAAGAAAAGAAAGAAAAAAGAGAGAGACAGAGAGGGAAAAGAACCTCAATCTAAACCTCACATCTTATACAAAGTTTAACTCAAAATGGATCATAGATTCAAACATAAGATGTAAAGGTATAAAGCTTCTGGCAGAAAACATAGGAAACATCTTTCAGACCTAGGGCTGTGTGAAAAGTTCTTAGATATGAAAAGCACAATCCACAAAAGAAGAAAAAGTCAGCAAGTTGGACTTCATCAAAATTTAAAACGTTCACTGTGCCAGAGGGCCTGTGAAAAGGACAGACAGAAGGATAAATTGCAGGAATATTTGTAAGCCACATATCTGACAAAGGGACCTGTATCTAGAATATAGAAACAACCTTCAAAACTCAACAGTAAAAACCAAGCAATCTAATTAGGAGAAAGACATTTCATCAAAGAGGGTATACAGATGTCAAATAGGCACATGGAAAGATGTTCAGCATGGTTAGCCATTAGGGATATGCATATTAAGATCATCTGATATTCTACTATGTAACCATTAGAACCGCTAAAATTAAATGCAGTGATAGTACGAAGCCTTCTCAAGGATGCAGAGAACATGAATCTTTTACACAATGCTGATGAGAAGGTTAAGTGGTACAGAAACTCTGGAAAATAGCTTTGCAGTTTCCTTTTAAAAAACAAAATATGGGGCACCTGGGTGGCTCAGTCTGTTAACATCCGACTTTGGCTCAGGTCATGATCTCACGGTTAATGGGTTCGAGCCCCGCATCGGGCTCTGTGCTGACAGCTAGCTCACAGCCTGGAGCCTGCTTCAGATTCTGTGTCTTCCTCTCTCTGACCCTCCCCTGCTCACGTTGTCTCTCTCTCTCAGAAATAAACATTAAAAAAATTAAAAAAACAACAACAACAAAATATACACTGACCATGTTACCCAGCAAATGCACCCCTGGCTTCAAAAACTTGTAGATAAATGTTCATAAGAGCTTTATTTATTTTTAAGGGATTCTTTAAAATTTTTTATTAATGTGTATTTATTTTTGAGAAAGAAAGAGACAGCGTGCAAATGGAGGAGGGGCAGAGAGAGAGGGAGACTCAGATTCTGAAGCAGGCTCCAGGCCCTGAGCTGTCAGCATGGAGCCCGACGCGAGACTCAAACCCATGGACTGTTAGATCATGACCTGAGCTGAAGTCAGACGCTTAACTGATTGAGCCACCTGGGCTCCCCTTAAGGGACCCCTTTTTAAAAAATGACTTTATGTTTTTTGGACCGTTTATAGGTTCATAGCAAATTTGAGAAGAAGGTACAGAGATTTCCCACATATTCTCTACCTCCATCCTGCACAGACTTCCTTCTTGTCAATGTTCCCTGTGGAGCGGTGCATTTGTTACAACTGATAAACTCTACTGACACATCATTACTGCCCCAAATGATATTTCACCTTTCGGTTCACTCTTGGTGCTGTGCTATGGGTTTGGACAAATGTATAATGACGTGAACTGATCATTCCAGGATCATATAGAGTCATTTCACCTCAAATCCTCCAGATCCTCTGTGCTTTGCCTATTCATCTGTCTCCTACCCCAACCTCTGGCAACCACTGATATTTTTTATTACCCCCATCGTTTTGCCTTTTCCAAAATGTCACACAGCTGAGATCATACAGTATGTAGCCTTCTCAGATTGGCTTCTTTCACTCAGTAACGTGCATTTCAGATTCCACCATATCTGTCCATGACTTGATAGCTCAATTCTTTTTATCACTGAATGATAATCTTTTGTCTTGACGGACCACAGTTTGTTTATCCATTCACCTACTAAAGGGAATCTTGGTTGTTTCCAATTTGGGGCAGTTATAAATGAAACTATGAACATCATGTGCAGATCTTTTTTTCATGGTGAAGACTGGTTCATTGGTGGCAGTTAATATTAGTCAATAAATACTGATCCCCAAAGAAGAATCTAGTTATTTCTCGATTACTGGTCCATAGAGATATGACATGAATTTGAACCAACTGCCTGCCGAGATGATACACGGAAGTCAATGCTGCTTCTTGGGAAATGGAGCCACAGCTAGCTGATATATGGCATATGTTGTCCCACCAACTGTAAACATCACAGCGACTCTATACGGGAAGCCATTGACTATCTCTATATAGGAAGCTATCTGCTCTGCTCCCCTATAGACACACTGGAATTCCATTATCCTCCTGAAGTAGCTTTTGCTTCTCTGGGCTTTATTTTCAAACTGCCTGTGTGAAGCAATTCATGTGCAGATTTTTGTGCGGACATAGGTTTTCAAGTTCTCGGGTAAATACGAAGAAGCACAACTGCTGGATTGTGTGATAAGTGTACGTTTCGTGTTGTAAGAAACTGACAAACTGTCTTCCAAAGGGGCTGTATCATTTCGCATTCCCATCAGCAGTGCAGGAGAGTTTCTATTGCTCCACATCCTTGCCAGCATTTGGTGTCAGTGTTTCAGAGTTGGGTCATTCTCGCAGGTGTGCAGTAGCGATATAATTATTTAGCGATGTAATTATTTAGCGATATAATTATAGGTAGCACATAATTATTTCAGCCCTTTAGGTTTTGACTGTGCTCCCTGACTCCCCAGATCTGTGTTACTGTTAAATGGAAATTAACTATCTGTATTTTTTTGGGGGGGGCCAGGCAGACATCACACCCTTCGATGCATGGGAAACACGGGAATCTGTAGACCCTCTTGCAGAAAGTCTGAACAACCCTACCTCTACTGCTTAAATTATCAGTCATGCTGCCTCCAGTCTTACATGAGGATAAGCATTTCCGGCAAAGAGGTGAAAAATGACTGGAGCCGACAGAATCGTTGGCCAAAAATACCTTGAGTGCTGGTGATCAACATCTTCAACCTGCTATCAAGACCCCTTATTAAAATTCACGCACCTGCCACCCTTGTCTCTCTTTTGACCATTGGACATCACAGTGAGAGATTGGGTTTTGCATGGGGAGGTATCTGTCCTGTTCTGGATCCAGTTCTGTTGGAGAGAAAACTGGAGTGACAAGAAGAATCCAGACAAACCATGGACGATGGGGAGAGAATGTCCTGAGACCACTGAGGGAGATCTGAAGGGTTTGGTCAGAGCCATGACCTCATCTGTGCCCTGTAGGTCTCAGAGGGGGATCTGAGTTAGTGGGATGGATGCACAGGGTAGAGGGTGGACGTCTTGTAGACAAGTGTGTCTTCGTTTATGGAAGAATTTCCTAACCAGTTGTAATGTGAATAAGTCATTTCTGCCAAGGTTTCAAGTTGTGAGGCTGGAGGTCTGTTTGGTGATTATTGAGGAAGGAATTTGAGTATTACATGCTCTTGTTCTTTTTGATGATTGTTAGGGACTTTTTATTTTTTAGAGGGGGGAGGGACGGGGGGGGATGGGGAGAGAGGGAATCTTAAGTAGGCTCTACGCCCAGCAAGGAGGCTGCCAAAACCACCATGGGGCTCAATCCCATGAACCGGGAGATTATGACCTGAGCCAAAATTAAGAGTCAGACACTCAACTGACTGAGTCACCCAGGCGCCCCTGTTAAGGACTTTTAATCCCTGAAAGTCTAGGAGGCCTGTTTCCCCAATGACAACCAACACTAGCTTTTTAAGATAAAATTCTGATGCTACTTTTCCTGTCTCAACCTCCACTCATATCTCATTTCTTTGTCCACCATTACTTCCAAATGTTGTCGAAAGGAGAGTAGCTACATTGACCAATGATATCTCTCTAGTCTCTGCCTCAAGTCATCACAATTTGCTTTTGTGTTTATTGTACAATGGAACCGGCTAGGGCCAAGCTCACTGACATACTTCCTTTTCGAAAGGTCCCTGGATATTACTCAACTTGTATCTCACTGTGCCTCTTGGTAGCGTTTCCAACCACACTTCGTCTCCCTGGAAACCTTAACTCAGTTGGCTGCTGTGACTTCCCTCTTTCTTTGTTTCCCTCCTAACCCCTGGGCTGTTCCCCCTCCATTACCTCCTGGAGTTTTTCTGCTGTCCTTTGCCTCACTGCATTCCTCTGATTCTCTCTCCTCTTGTGAGAATCAAAACTGCCCACATCCCTAGGAGAAGGCTGACAGTTCTGTCGCCGTGTTAACAAGCAAATACTTTGAAAGGCTTTTAACCTTTCTCTTCTATCAGTGACAACTCGCTTCCGTGAACACACCTCTGGAAGCCGAATCATCAGTGAGAGCATTATGCTTTGAAAGTCAAGACAGTCAGCGCTGGCTTCACTTCAGGGCCTATACTTCGAGGTGGTCATCAACCCATCTCCACATCTGTAACCAACACGACTCCCCCAGGAGGCTTCCCCCAAATGCTATAGAAGTTCAGCACTTTGTTCTGCTTAATGAGCCTATGCATGACTAGTGTGGCTCTCTTTTATTTAAGAAAACAATCATTACAGCATTTTGGCTTTAGACATTGAGTGTTAATCTCCTTCTTTGACAATTCTCCTTCATTCTATGTTGCTGCCCAGCCTCTCATAACAACAAACCTTATGATCTGGACAAAATCAGTGGTTTTAGACCTCTGTTTCTGGCAGAGTAATGGTCTAATAAGAACTCAGATGAGCCCTCCCATTGAGAATATCTAAAATACTTTATTTAAAATATACATAAAACTTCTTACGCATCCTTGACCTTGCAAAAAAAAAAAAAAGAAGACAGTAAAGAATATTAAGGCCGAATGAAACCAGGTGCTTTTCTGAAGGCAGTAACTGCAACTGGCTTCTGTCTTGAAAGCACTTGCTGAGTCAGGCGAACTTGAGCTTTGGTTTTCATGGCTTTGGCCAGGGTTGAGTGTAGGCAGGAGAGAGGAGACAGTGCCTAGGGTCTGAAAAAATGGGAGTCTCGGAGGAGACTTCTACATAAATCTCAGTCCTAAAAGTGTTACACATGTTGTGTAAGGATAAAACAGATACAACTGAGGTGCCTGGGTGGCTCAGTTGGTTGAGCATCCAACTTTGGCCCAGGTGATGATCTCACAGTTCGCGGGTTCGAGCTGCACATCGGGCTTGCTGCTGTCAGCTTGGATCCTGCTTTGGATCCTCTGTCCCTCCTTCTCTCTCTCTCTGCCCTTCCCTTCTTCTGCTCTCTCAAAAATAAATAAACAAAACAAAAAAGAATAGCCATTCTTAAAAAAAGCAAAAACCCAAAACAAAAAGATACAACTTTCCTTCTCCTTCATCAGGCCTTTTCCAAGGAAAATTGTCTGGTACTCAGCACACAGAAAAAAACTTTACTGGGAATTTACAACCTCAAGCTGGCTCTCACATAGTTTCTTATCCAGAATGCACGGCATATGGATGATCTGAAAAAAAAATCAAGCTGATGATTTAGCTAAAGTTGCCCCAAAGTGGTAGAAGCAAAGGTGTATGACAGAAACAAACGAAGGGGTAGACCTTTAAGTCATGACTCAACTGAATCATTCAGATTCAGTCCCAAGGAAAATGTATAAATCAGAGCCCCAAATCACAAAATCCCAAGGAAGTAAGGCACCATGAATTAAGGCCAGGAGAAACCACAGACCAGAGATTCAGGACTTCAAGGACTCCAAACATCAGAATTACTAGTAATAATAATTTTAAGGATAGTTGAAAAAATAAATTCATGTGACTTGAGTTCTCCATTGTCATGGGGGTATTTACCTGACCCCTGTGAAGGAGTATTCTAATGCTGAGTGGAAACGGTATATTCTTTTTCTTTTTTTTTTTTTTTAATGTTTATTTATTTTGAGAGACAGAGAGAGACAGAGCATGAGCAGGGGAGGGAGAGAGAGAGAGGGAGACACAGAATCAAAGCAGGCTCCAGGCTCTGAACTGTCAACATAGAGCCCAATGGGGGGGCTCCAACCCACAAACCGTGAGATCATGACCTGAGCCAAAGTCGGATGCTTAACTGACTGAGCCCTCCAGAAGCCCTGAAATGGTATATTCTAAGTGGAGACTCAGCAGATCTGGAAGGCATAAATGGTATATTCTAAGTGGAGACTCAGCAGATCTGGAAGGCATAAATGGTATATTCTAAGTGGAAGACTCAGCAGACACTGCAGCAGCAGTGAGCTCAGATGGCTGTGTTTTACCGCCTCTCCTACATCACTCACTAATGGTGTCACAGAGAATTCTGATGTTTAGCTAACAAGGAGGGAAAAGGCAAGCCAAGTTTGTGAGTGCCTTACATGATGTGCTAGCACCAGCCAGAAGTGCTGCAAAACAGCCTGATTCAGAAGTGCCTGAAATTCAACAGTGAGTGGGGGAAATCCTTTCTGTAGAAGGGGGGATGGTCTAAGGTATGGATCTAAAGTAATCCATGGCCAGTGATAATGGGTTAACTGGTGGGCGGGTCAGGGTCTTAGAAAGAAAGAACAAGATTAGAAGGATGGGGAAAAATGAGGTGTGTGGTGGTTGTGTGGGCGGCCCTCTCTGAAAGGAGATGGGGTGTGTGGATATTTTTATGCCATCAGAGGGGTATAAATAAAGCTCTCAGTAAGCAAGGGGACAAAATGGTCCATCTTTTTACCTGCAGTTAAGAGGCCATCCCTACCTTTAAATGTCCATGTGCAATCATGGTCAAGGAAATGGGCTTATGAAGCCAGCCTTTCAACAGTTTCTATTCCAACCTTGAAGCAATTGGGGCAAAAAGGAGTCCTTATAGCTTATACCTGGGCCAGCCAATTTTCCTACAGTGAGTGATAATATAGGGCTTTAGATCAAAGTTTGTGAGTAGTAAAATGGATGCTTTCACCTGAGACGTCCGCTGTTGTAAAGAAAGGCTTTAGGATGCTAGAAGCTACTCTTAAAAATGCAAGGATCTGGAATTTTGATTGTGACGATTTTTGCTGCCATCAAGAGACAGGATGGACACAAGAGCTGCCTCTGGTATACCAAAGCACTTGTTGAGAAGACAGGACAATGGAAAGATCAGTGTTGGAATACTTAACTAAGCGGTTAAGGCTGTGCATAGGTCGCCAGCAAACAAGGGTCACTGGAAATGGGTTAAAACCTGTTATGGAAAGAATCTGAAATTTTGAGAAAAGCACTGAGGAGTTTATTGTTGGAAGTACTGAAAAATTTCGGACTTCCTCACAGCGCAGTTTTTATCTAGAATTACACATTGATCGAGGGCGGAGGTGGATGACCGCGGTATTTTCAGTGCTTTATCCATATGACTTAGTCGATCCCTCTGAGGATAGGGTGAGTGGCAGCCAAGAGAGAGTCATGAGCTTTAATGAATCTCTCAGAGGAATTTTCCGTTCCAAGTCACACTTTTCGCCTTCTTTATTCTTGGTACTTATTTCAAAGCAGGATGTTGTAGAGCCTGCTGTGATTATATCAGTAATATCTGATCGAAAATTATATATGGCTGTGGGACAAGTGATAGGAACTTTCTGGCCTGAAACACAGCAGACTTGACAATGTTGGCATGCTATTTTTATCCCTTTGTCAACTTTTCAGGCGTCCTGCAGGGTCTGATTTGTGCCAGCATTTTTTCCCAACACCCTAGGCTAAATACCAAAAAGAGAGACTATTGATTTTAGGTTACTGCTGTGCTCAGTTTTACAAGCATGACTGTATATTTGGCAATCCCGTAACAACATCATGGGTCATAATTAGATTCTCACTTTAAGACTCCCAGCTCAGGCCTGATAAATACCATGTTTCCAAACGTCTCTCTTCCCAGCCTCTTATCTGCCGTTTTTGAACTTTTCCGAAAGTGAGATGAATCTTTTTTTTTTTAAATGTTTTTGTTTATTTCTAGGAGAGAGAGAGAGACAGCGTGAGCAGGGGAGGGTCAGAGAGAGAGGGAGTCACAGACTGAAACAGGCTCCAGGCTCTGAGCT